TCTCCCAAAGCGCCAATTTTTTTTGTGTGACGTTGTTAGTATGGCATCTAACAATTATAATAACGGTTTATATACTAATACTGGTTTTCATGACAATACAATTTAACGTCACAAGTTCGGATACGTGACCCGACAAGTAATAATAATAAGTAAAACGGGATGCTTCTTCTTCCAATGCTTATAATACCGGAAAAACGAATTTACTATTTTTGAACTAGTTTGCGGTAACGTATTTTGAAATGCATCTTTTATTATGACTTTTGTGAACTGCTAGCAGTTGGCGGATTAAAAGCTAACTTCGCCGCCGCATCGGGCGCCCAAGTATTTAATATTGTTCTAAAACACTGTTACCTGAAGGAAAAAGAGTTTTTGTAGTTCACGGCGTGTTGAACAACGAATACCGAAAGACTTAACAATCGATAAGCCAGCTGGCGGGAAATGCTAATCGTCAGAATGCAAGATATATTTTTATTAAGGATACAAAGGATGTAATTAAAGTATTAACCAACAATTTAAGAAAGGTTTGCAATTGTTGATGGTTCACAATACTTTTGCTTCGCTTCTAACAATATTATTTGATTGCCTTTCCTGTACAAAGACCAATAACATATATGATTCAAGTTAACAACTTGGAAGTAGACAAATCTTTGAACGAAGTAATATTTAACTGCTTTACGAAAAGAATTCTATATTAACGCGCAATTAAAATCTTTATGATAGAAGTAGCATATTATGACCACAATGCGTCAAGGTTAAATGGAATTGGAAGCATAATACGGGGAAAGTTCAAAGAGGAACATGTGGGTTACACTGACACTATGGAAGCGGAATCAAGGCATAAATAACAAAGAGAAACAAGAGTGGAAGGAAAGAAATAACTTGCCGTAAAGTAAAAAAGACAGCAACAGAAAATTGGAAGAACTGAGAGGACGCGATATGGGAAAGCCCTAACAACAGGCATTAACTATCTAGAGAAAACTTCTGAGCTAAGACTTAAATCTCAAGATCAGTTAATTATTTGCTCGCCCGGCGAAAACATCATGATTACTGTAACAGTAATAGTAATACGAAAATGACAATTCATTGTTAATCGTAATCTCGCATTGCTATGCTAATTCCTGATCAATTTCTGGATAATTGCAGGGATGCCTATTCAAACTGTATAAATCAAAATTTATTATATAACTTTTTTTAAAATTATTTTACTTTAATAAAGAGATATCCGTTGAAAATTATACAACCCCGTAGGTTGCCATAACCTCATGTCTCATCATTAGTTGTTTTAAAGATGAAATTTGATAAAGTAGCAGAGACGTAGTAATAGTTAGTTCTCAGTTAAAATAAATAGCCATTCCGGGATATGCTGTAGATGCAAACTCACAACTGCCCGTTTTCTCTCCTGAATAAACGACAAGCTGCCCCAATTTGCATATGTGATCACAAGGAAGAGAAGTTTCATTACTAGGTATTGTAAATTTGCCAAAACTCTTGCACTTTATGAAGTTGAATTCGTACCTTCGTCATGTGATAATGAACAATTGGTGGAAGGTTTATCACGTGGGGAATGTGACTACAAAAACAATTCCGTCGTTCCATTTACGTCTACAGTTAAAATACCGCGATACCCGCCATTGCACTCATAAGACATAAATTCAACATGCTCGACAGATGGTGATAATCACGTATGAGAATTGATGTTTGATAGTTGATACAATATTGGTTGCCGTCAACGTGGTCTTGTATCCACAGCAACTTATGTAATCGCAATTATTATTTGTCTGTCATGAGATTGTGCGGGGGAAAAAATAAGTTTCACGTGATCGGACAACACAATCACATAATATAAAAGAACGCAATAGCAAGTACCGAACAAACTACAAGTCATCGAAATATCTTCGTATACAAAAGCCATTTAACGCATATAAATAAAATACTTTGTAATTGTAATAGCGGACCGACTATTCAGTCGTTATAACACAACATCTGATGTCCAAAAAAGAGAGCAATAACTACAAAACAAGGCACTTGTTCCAAAATGTTTATGCATTGAAAAAAAAAGCTGCAGATGATGTTTACCTCAATGACATATTATCTGTCGTTGAACCAATTGTCTTTGTGTTCTTACGAGCGTTCCCGTATTTCATGAAGGTTAGCAGCTAGCCAAATCACAATACCTCACTTGTTAGTGATAATCTGTTCCGAATATAGAACAATAGTGGGGATCCAACGTCCCCCGTGAGAAAGCGTTGGGGAATGCTGTATAAGTATAGCAAAATGTGGGACCGTGTATGTCAGAGCATATAATGAGTATTGATTCACACTGATGTGTTTATCTCTGATAAGCCACAACTAATTATAATCGCTTCACCATTTGGTTTTATAGTCACGTGTCAACAACGTGGACATCGATAATCAATCTCCCGCATCAAATTTATCTTTGTTTGCATGCCATCATGCATACAAGCAGGTGTCTATTACTCTGAACGGAGAGCATGTATTTCTTAAGACCAGATTGACAATGCATTACCGATAAGTTAATTGATACGATTTAAAATTTATGTACAACTTTATTTATGCAAAAAAACAATACCGCAAAATGCCGTTATCTTCACTCTCTTTCCCCCAACTTCCTGATGGTTCAATATTTATTGACGAGTATGTGGGCAGTCACTACCTATCATAAAACTTTGTAACAAACCATACAGATAATAGAATTCTTTCAAATAACATAAAGTAGTGATGTTGAATATCGGGATTATCTGGAGTATGCTCAAGAATCATCGGACAGCAACATATCTATCTGCATGTGAAAAATTTTTTTTTTTAGTTCGTAACAATAACATCAAAAGTCTAGATCCGATTATTTAGCCAGCTAACAGATATAGTAACATAATGTGGCCATGTCTCTGATCACGAAATAGGTGAATGATTGCCGCCAAGTACTCTTGGCCCTTGCTGTGAAACAGATCTGAATTACTATGTCAAGTCTGCGACTGAATAAGCTGAACGAGCCGATAGGTTCTGTTTCTGGTTTTTGCATGATCAATCATTTGCATGGCTATATTAATTTGTTGCTATTTATGTTATACTCTGCCTTTATTCACTCCTTTCTGATATTCCTTGACAGGTATAATCAGAAAAAATCGTGGGAATGCCGTTGGTATGATGATCAATCATCGTGGATTCAATAACAATGTCTGACTCTCCATTGATGTAATGTTATTTCTACAAAGTTAAAGTAGTGGAACCAAAAATGCATAGACAACAACGTATATGAAATGTGAATAAAGCGATATCTTCAAAAGAATTGCTTTTGTCATCTCGATAACGATATTGACTGCCCCTAACTAAGCCTCTTGAAGTATATTTTAGAGAGTAATAGTAATAGCAATGATGGGCGAATGCTTGCTTCCGGCTTGCCTTTTGGCGATTCTAGCAGGTGGAACATTCTTGTATCACATTTTGTGCAACAAACCATAAGCTTTAGGTTGATGTTCACATATGAAATATAATGATAGAAGAGAATACGGAATTTTTGTTGCTAGAAATCAAAACCGCTTATTTACAAAAACATTATCAGAGTTATTCTTTATTACTACCCATTTAACAGTTTCGTTCTGTGAACTAGAATTGTGTTACGCTAAATACGATTCAATCGTCTACGAGATAATTATGATGTTACCCCCCCCCCTCACTACGAACAAACCCCCTTCGACTCCTGTACAGCTGGTGCGCAACGACCCCTATTATCCATCGAGATTTGTCAACGTTTTCTTCCTAGTCGTCACTAGAATACTCCCAAAAATGCTACGGTTTTCCCTTCGGGATGAGTCCCACACGTATCATATCTTATTAGAATACCTCAAATTCACAGTGATTGCTCAATACCTCTACAAGTGATCTTATTGTAGAGAAGAAAAAAAAAGATTTCACCTCCCCCCAGACATCGATCGTACAAGCCTTCTTATTGCATGATCTACGATGATTACGTACGACTGAGACTTTTTGTATAAAAAGTTGAGTTAAAAGGCTATATTTTATACGCTTGCATAAAAATGCACTTTTGACAGGATGAATGTATACATGAATAATATTACTGCAGAGATACACATATGATTGCGGGGTATGGACAAACTGGTTGAATACTTGTTAAATACTGGATTTCGTGCTAGTATTTTCTGAATATGTCAATTTTGATGGACAAGAACAAATAAATAAATAGCAATTAGGTTCATCAAATGGAATTCGTCTAGTTGGTGATTGGATAATAAATATACAATATACAATATATATTAACATTGTAAATGCGTGTAACGTACGGTATTGTACTTGCAGCCCAAGATTCACCTGAATACCGATTCGAAGTAAAAAAAAAAAAAAACTTTTACCTTTTGTAGTTAGTATTTTCTTGCAATTTAGTACATTTTATGTCAGCCATGACAATTGCTCCAACTATGTTTGCCACATCTTATCTCGCTTCCCGTCTTGCTTTTGATATCGCTCACGTCTTTTCCCTGCCCGGACCCCTGTATTCAAGAAATTTGTCACCGATTCACCGACAATTTGGAATGACGATCAATATGCAAGTCACTGCATACAGTAAAGTATCGACAAGCGTCACGTATTCTATTCACAAATTTGGCCACCACCCAAACCACGTTTCACATTCGCAATTTCCTGATCAGGCATTCAAAAACGCGGATATCTAGCAGGAGAATGCAATTGTATGTGTCGTGTTATAATGCAAGATATAGAGTTATAGCTGTAAACTGATATTAATTTGTGCTACTGCGCCCTTCCTTAGGGTTTATATATACCCCATTCTCCCGTCAGACTGTATTCATCATCACATAAAAAGCAAGAAGCTATAAGAAGAAGAAAAAAAAAAGAACCATTCAACATCTAACAGACTTTGTTCTTTGATACATACTATGCATATTGCCTAACCGAATAATTCACGAGCAATACAGTTATAAACAATTAGAATTCTACAACATACCATGACTAACACACCGTCGCCAAAAAAAATATCCATATCAAAACATTCTTCTGTAAAGACTGGACGAATAGAGAAACATACCCATTCACCAATAAAAGCGCGAAAATCTCTACCACTTGAATGGTGTAAGAGCGAAACTGCAGTTGAAAAGGTCACCCGATGGTTAGAGCTCGATGATGAAGTAACACTCGTAAGATCTCCCAGAAAGTACGCCCCAACAAACTACGGAATGATGGATATGCCAGTCAGAACAACTAGAAACGCGAACGTAAAAGCAACTGATAATCTTCTTACCTCTCGCAACCAGTCATATTTTTCACAATCACGTACAATTTCTACTAAGACTTCAATGCAACGCAAAGATGTCAAGCAGAAACGGCCACACCAAAATACTAAAACTGCTAACGCCCGTCCTCCCCGGTCGCTCTTTCGCACCTCTGAACTCCTATTCTCTCGCGCTTTCCCTCGTTTATTCGCCTGGCTCTCTACGGAAAGTGATTCCGAGAGTGAAGATGAAGAAGTATACGCGACAATGGCATCCAAACGCTCGGTTGGTAAGAAAAGGCATGGGGGGAAGATTAAACGAGTACCAGAGTCCAGTAAGCGTTTGTTTGGTGTTTTCATGGGTCGTTGGTAGATAACAATCGTTAGGAGAATCAGATTTGGTTCCTTAGAATGGGCGAATTGTTGGAAAAAATGGGTGTATCGAAAAAAAAAAAGAAAGGCCTAAAGAAAATTGGAATATAACACGAGCTCACTTTATAATAACCGACGTGTATCGTATGTGACTGATTCCCATATTACATTTATCAGACAACCAACAATTGATCTGTCGTGGCTGCGGGAAATACTTCAAGTCGAAAAGTGGCCTAACCCTACACAGTTACCGATGTGCAGATTTGCATGTAATTATCGCGTTGTCAAGCAATTTATATTACACTCAGTTTATTGTCTTCATTTTTTTGTTTGTTCTCCCGTCGCGTTCCGCGCCTACATTTCTACTCATATGCTTTTATTCAAATCCCTGTACTCCTGTAATTATGGATTGTCTTATTATATTATATTCAGTTTCTCATCTAATGATTTTCATATAGCCCGTTTTCATTCAGATCAAAGTCTATTATTGAACCCATCCCTTCTGTTCTAATCAATTTTAGCGCGAAGAACATACTTACGATGATGTAATTGACTGTATTTGCGGAGACGATTCGGATTTTGGGAAAATGGTTCAGTGCGATGGCTGCAGGGGATGGCTCCATCTCGCATGTTTAAACTTGACCAAAAAAAGGCTCCCTGATCAATACTTTTGTCCGCGTTGTATGGAACTAAAGAAGAGGCGCAGAGATCAAGTTATAAGAAGAGAATTAAATGTAGATATCGATACGGAAAGTGAGTCAGACAACGGAATGGAGACGAATTGTACGGGTGTGATGATATCTGGAGGACGGCGATGGAACACATCGAAGGAGACAAATGACGACAAGACGTTCATGCATCCAGGAAATTGGCTCACCATGATCGAGAAGCGATGCCTGGATGTTAACGAATCACATAACATGACTAGTGATGGTGATTACGATGTAAATAGCAATCTTCAGGCTGCTGATAACATGAATTGGATCTCTTTACCAACTCCTGGGTTATTCGGGCTTGACCAGGATCTTGTGTCGCCACTTGATTCGGTGGCACCATCCTTATCGTTTAGCGAGGTAATAGATTCTTAACTTTTTTCGACTTGGTTGTGTGCTGCGAAGTCTTTATTAATTGAGTGACATTGTTTGATCTTACCTGACTCTTTGTATAGGATTACAGCACCCCAGGGCCCTCAGAACCGCCATTTACACCGGAGCAATATACAATTCATTCTGTCGATGACGAATCCAATGAACAAGCGACAAACGGCCCATACGTCGTTGGCACTGCAACGGATGTAATTACGGAGGCTGCCTTGGAGAGCTTGATTCCCTTGGCGGAGTTAATTTGCAACACTTATCAAGGTCAAATGTTGTCGTCTGGGGTCGGTAATGAATATGAGGTTCAGGAAATGGATCGTGCGGCGGAAGGTAAGGTGGCGGAAAACAATAAAAAGTAACTAGAAATTTTATAATTTTAGTGACTAAGATAACGATTTTCCCCTAATCTAGAAATGATGGAATATATCGTAGCAGATGATGACGACGAGGATATCGTGAACACTGTGAGCAATAACAACGCCTGGGACAATTTCGTTGATGCCTCGACTACTTTGTAAATATCTAATTTTCACCTAATAATTCATATATATGGACTTTGTTAATGTGTATTTGGAGAGATACTCTCTTTGTAGTATATATCGTTGTTAGAGAATAGAGAATAACCTGAATCCCAAAATATCCGTAACGGCAAGTTGTCGTTCTGGATTATCTGCTTTTCTCTTATTCTTTTGCTTGTGCTTGTGCTTTGGCTTTGCATGTATAGTTCAATAAAAGTAGTTTTTTATTCTTGTGGCTTGTAAAAATTAGCTGCGCGGTCACATGATTAGCAGATTTAAGTTTGCAAAAGGCCCAAAGGAGTAATACAGTCAAACCTCGTTATACCGAAGGAATTCTGACTCCCCCCGTTTTCTAAATAGTAAAATTCGTTATAACGAATTTAATAGCGATAGTAATAGTAAAATCTCTTTATACCGTTACCGAAGTTCGATGCAGGATTTTAGTCTCTTTATACCGAAGGTTTATCACGTGATAAAAATGGAAATCTTCGCCGCGCAAGTCTTAGTGAAAAACGTGTAATATTTCAAACGATTTGAACTCTGATGATGTCAGCGACAATGATGATGTTAATTATGATCATGATGACGATTATACTGACTCCGTCATTGGCGAGGATGATATCATTGACATCATTGATGAGATGGATTAATCATTTCTTTATTGTAAATTATTTGTTCTGAAGTATTGCTTTATTTATTAATTATTGGAACTATTGAAATTATTGGAATTATTATCAATCGTATTATTGTTATTATTGTCTTTGTTCTTCATTTTCAATACTTATACTCGCTTGAAGGTTGATACTCGTTCGATCCAATAAAGTTATTGTGAAATTATTATCGTTGCGAAGCTATTGTG